ATTCGAGATGGTGTGACCAAGATTACAGATATCTGGATCCAACCAATAATCTTAACGTTAACTGATACAGATCTAGTATTTTCAAAATCGTCGTCCGTGAGATTCGAACTCTAGACCTGCCGCTTAGGGGTGAAGCAACCCCACCACTTCACTAAGTCGCTACACCCTTTTAATTAGATATTATATATACAATACAAGAATATATTATATTTACATATTTAGATAGCCAATTTTATCACTATATAACTTTTTTTTTATATTAATAAACAACTTTATTTAAACATTTAGATTCTATACTGCTGCTTATAACTCTAGCCTTAACTAATATAATTACAAAACCCTCTATCATCTATTATATTATCTACTACTAACTCTTTTAATACTATATCTCAAATATTATCTTCAAAATTATTGCTTTGGTAATTTAACTAGATCAAATACTATATATATTCTTCATATATTTTTAATTTACTTCAAATTTAAGTGAGCTTTGACTATTCTAGTAGGTTTAAGCTACAGATAAGTTTCTAGAATTACTTAATCTAAGTTTTCTAGTTATATGTTTAAGCTCTTATTCTTAGTATTAGATTTAAGATATAAAATTTTTTTTAATCATGTAAAAAGTTTTTATAAAAATAAAAGCAAGGTTTCATCTTAAATATTAAAAAAAAAAAAAAATTTACAAGCCAAATAAAATATTTATTATAATGAACTAGTTTGAAAAATATATTAAAAAATATATATTTATATTTGTAATTTAAAAACTAGTTTAGACAATTAAATTTATTAATTTTACAAATTAAATAAAAACAAATTGGGTTCTAACTAGTCTGATTTGAAAACAAATATTTAACAAAAATAAGAAATTTTTATAATACAAAATCAGATTTATATTACTATATATAATATAACCTGTTAAACTGATATATATAGTAAACCAAATTTGTATTAGTTTTAACAGGTTATCAAGTTTAAAGAGTAAAATTACTACATTTAATTAAGAGATAGTGAATCAATTCTTTATTAGTTTTGACAGATTATTGGTTATATATTAAATATTTATATAAACCTAATTTGTATACTAAAGATTTTCTATTTTTACCAAATATTTGTTTTAAATCAGTTTAGTTAGAACCTAAATTGTCTTTATTTGAATTGTATTTAATAAATACTATTTAGATTTATGAGCTGAATAAAATAGTTAATACAAACTAAATAGTTTGAAGAAATATAATGAATATATATTTGTTATTTGTACTCTAACTTTGCTGATTAGCTTTAATAATTAATAAATATCTTTTAGATTTACAAGCTGAATAAAATAGGCAATATGAATTAAATAATTTAAATAGTATATAATAATAAAAAATATATATTTATCCTCTTTGTCCCAAAATATCTATTTATTTCCCGGCCATGCATCCTATTGTTTCAAGTGTTTTTTTTGATATATTAAAATAATAACAATAATTTGGATCAAGAACGATGTTTTTGAGTGGTTGGAAAATGAATAATTTTATGCCCTGGTCCCAATCGAACTTAAAACTACTGTAAATTTTATTATAAAGTTCGAAACCTCTGAGAACTGAACTTTTTGACCAATTTTACATATAATAATGAACAGTTTGGAATAGACAGAGTTGACTGTAATTATCAACATATGGGGGTGAGTCAATAGAAACGCACCAAATCTTTTTTAATGAAATTTTTTTAAATTTTAAACAAATATAACTCAACAAAAACTTGATCAAATCTAGTAAAAAAAATTTTATTAAATTTGATTAAATTATTGTTAAGTTATTTTTGTTCAAAGTTTTAAAAAATTTACTTAGAAAAAATTTGGTGCGTTTCTATTGACTCACCCCCATATTCTTATAAATTACCAAAGGTTTAACTTATGTTGATTTATTAGGTTTAATTCACGTAAAATACTAATAAAATAAATTTATTACTCTCAGCTATTGGTAAAATTGGTGTTGTTAATAAAATTAATAAAATTTACCAGCATCACTAAATTCACTATTTTTTAGTTAATCTGGTTACTCATTCTATAGCACCAATCATTAAATCACATTTGAAATTAAGCAAAAATAACAATTTACAGGGCCCTCATCGCCGTAGATCCACCGAGTTATTATCTCATAATGGAAATATTTCCCGGATTTTTTCAGCTCCAATAGGAGCCGAAGAGAAAAAATAAATAGTACACAGTGACTCTTGATATAAAGTATTGTTCGAAAGAATTAGTTTTTCATATTTGTATATCCCGGGTTTTATCCCATGTTGTGGCCCGCGTATAGTACATAGGGGGTCTGAAGGACCCGAGATTGGTTAAAAAAAATTTTTTAACCAATAAAACTGTATAATTTTGGCTAATTAAATGTAACCTCTGTTAGCATTGTTTGTGCCCTGGGTCTGATATCTGGAGGGTCTTGTATACAGAAGTTTACGGTACTTAGTCTTTGTTATATCGGAAGTCTGTTATATAAAGAGCTACTATATATTATAAGTCGCGATCATATATAGAATCTGAATAATATTTATCAAACTAGGTATATCAGAGTCGAAATTCATATGAAGTAATGATTTATAACAGGAGGGAACGTACCCGATCCAAAGTGAATCCCGCACATGGTGTGATCAATTAAAACTAATATAAATAATTTCAGTTTTAATTGAATCACACCATGTGTGGGATTCACTTTGGATCGCCTCCTGTTATGATTTATTAACAATTTAAAACACATTATCCAGATTGCATAAAGCGATAGCTAATAAATATAGCCGGCCGATAGCATATGGCCAATACGTGAACTTTTAGATAAGCAAGGATTCGATAGCTATATGTGGATCCCGATTTCTTGACCTTCTCTTAACTGACGTTCAGATCTTTAGCTCGTTCCGATCCGAGATTGATCTATCCAGTAAATCTTCACATGAATGGATATCAGATTGTACATGCAATTAGAAAATTTTCGTACTCTAATTTGTATCCAAAAAGTTAAACGACATCTGATGAATCAATTAAGTGTAGGGCCTAAATAATTAACATATCAATAAATAAAATACATAATTTAATATAAAAACTTAAAATATGTTTTATAATTTATATAAAGTTAGTATCAGATAAAGACGTTAAATAGGTAGCAGTCATATTTTCATCATCACACAAAACGTGAAAGAAGCAGACAAATGCCTTAATCATCATATTCTTAAAACATTAAAAACAATAAATGTATTATATATTTACCATACAGTATTTATTGTAATTGCGAAGAAAATTTAGAAAAGAAAAAATTTTTTTTTTTTTTGTATTGATAAGCATTTTATTTATGTAAAAACTGGCCAATAAAATCATGGAGAAGAACAATTATATGCAATAGTGGCAATTTATTGAATAATGCGAAATCCACACATGCTAAATAAGCAACGTAACCGAAAATCTAGTTTAATTTACTGATGCTAACGCTAACGTAACACATGTCAAATGAAGGCAAATCGGGTTCCAATCGGCATCACGTAATCCCAAAACTGATTTCTTTGACCTTCGTTCGACCTGTGTAATGCACGAAAGGTACGTCACACATTACTTGCAATTTAATGATCAAAAAAATATACTATATATACAAGTTTATTCATAATACCAGTAATATATGATAATGACACAATAAAAATTAAAAATTCAATAAATCCTTATTACTCAAATACAGGAGCTCACATACAACATTTGTTTTTAATAGAGCTTCTATTAAATTGATTTATGAAGTTCCTTGAATTCTTCCGGTTTAACCACCTTTATAGATTATAAATAAATTTAAAATTAAAATTTTACTTCCAATTTGATGATCCAAATCGATAATCGACCTTTAGATGTTAACTAGTTGTCACATGTTCTTAACAATTATATGTTGCCGAATATAAAGGAATAAAAAAAAATTTTGAATAAAACAATAATACTACAAATGATCTGGGTCTGGGTGGTCGCTCCTAATCGGCAACATACGGGATATGATAATTTGATTAACAGCATCATCCAACAATTTTAATTGCCAAGACAAATTTCAAATTACGCTCAATTGATTTTCGATCTGGATCACTAGTTCAATTAAAATAATCAGCATTATTATAATGTACAAACCTTTATTTTTGGAAATTCCCTTGCAGTATCTGCAGCCTTCGAGTTAAAAACAGCATCTTTGTCATATTGAGGTATTTCGTCGTTAAATTGATAATGTTCATCTAATACCGTAGCTTCGTCAATTGGTTTACCCCAATTGTGTTGACCAGCACCTTCCTAATAAAGAATTTAGAATAATAAATATGTCAAATTAAAAATTGTTTTCCAAAATTAATTCGCTTTAATAATAATATTTAAATTCTCATATACCTTCTTTGGCATACCACGGGGATCCGTATATCCATTTCTATAACATAAAAAACATTAAAAAAAAATTGGCAAAAAAGATGGACAATTAACAAAACATAATAAAAAATGAATACCTTTGAAGATGACGATCTTGTTTAAGAGCACCAGGTGTTTCGGAATGTTTTGTGCGTGTCATATTTGCTTACAGTAAGATTTTTTTATTTAAGGCAGAGAAAGAAGGAAATTTATAGAAAAAAAAATAACGATAAAAAAATGGGATGATTTAAATAAATGTAGGGTTATTGATGATCAGTTGATGACTACGTATTTCAAGTCTATTTTAGGTAAAACTGCAAAATCACGTCATTTTTACATGTTTATGTCAATATTGGTTACTGTTTACAAATAAACCACAGAACTAAAACGTAAACAAATATACTTATCATAGTACTGTAGTAGTAAAATTCCAGAGTTTTCTAGTATTTAATTTTTTTTTTCTAAGTTTCTCGAGATAATTTTAACGTTAAGTAATTTTAGACAATTTTAGGTATACAGTATATATATAGTTTTAAAAAATTATATACTATACCATACGTATATACGTATATATATTGAAAAGAACCGTATCGAGTATACGTGTGTGATGCATATAAACGTACGTTTAATTAAGGATATTTTGTCATTATATATACTATATATATATATATATATATATTATAACTTATATATCATTGCATATAAAAACAATATTGTTTTTAAGTCTGATATTTTTAATGGAATTTATTTGTAGTGACAGTTACCATGACTGCTTAAAAGTTAACGTTAATACTGTGTTAAATTTTAATACGTTCTTTTTTCTATAAATAAGAATACATCGAATTATTATTCCTTTGAGGAAAATATGGAGATTTCTCATGCATTTCTTCAACCGTTATTCAATGACATAAGTACAGCAGATATAATTCTTCGAGTTGATAATATTCATTTTCACTCTCATGTCTGTGTATTATATGCAACTTCTAGATTTTTGAATCAATACTTTAAATATCAAAGAGCAAAACGAAATAACTTCGGTTATATTAATTATAACTCTATGCAAGATCATGAAATCTTGTTACATGATTATAGTTGTTCGAAAAGAAATTTCATTACAAAGTTGCATGAATATAAAGGAGACCCGGAATGTGAAATGAAATATACTTGGACAGATTTTGGAAATTTTCTCGCATATTTGTAAGTATTATTATGGTTGATAAAAATAACTACACGGAATAATTCATACCTGATTTATTAACAGATACGGTTATCCGATGAAAGAAAGGAAAAAGGATAATTTGTATGTTCTTGCATACCTTGCGTCAAAAAATAAATTTGATGTACCAGAATTATTGCAAATTTGTGACGATTTGTTACATGAAATGGCAAGTTTTATAAAATATTTTTTGGTTCTTTTTTCCTAAAACTCTAAATTTTACTTTCCAACAAGCAAATACTCAAAGCAGAATAGACCAATTCTGAACTAATCTATCAATTACAAATATCAAATATACTGATATTTTAACAGATATTATAAATGAATCAAACCACTCTTTAATAATTTTAGAAATTTCAATCATTATCAACAAACCTAAACCATGTAAACAGAAAAAAAAAAAATATTTTCTATGGAAAAACTACACAAAACAAATAATCCAAGACTATGCCAACCAAACTTCTTGAAACTTACAACACATTCTTCCTAAAATTCAAACAATTACAAATCAAAATTAGCTTAATCTTATCTGGAACCAAATACACAAAGCTTTAATTAAAATAGCAAACAAACATATTTCTTACAAAAAAATTAAAACAATTAAAGAAATTCAAGACTCCCCTCCTTCTAAACATCTACTAATTTTCTATCAATACAAACAAATTCAATTCTTCAAAAACCACTTCAATTCGATTAATTTTAACAATCTTCTTATTCATTATCAAAACCAATACCCAACCAACTTACTTCAAACAAACTCACCAACTCTCACTCAAATCAAAGAAGAATTCCAACTTATTAAAACAACTCTTAACTATCAATACCAACAAAATCTCTATGAAGAAATTAAACAAAAAATTGAAAACTGCAACAAATCCTTCATCAAAACCCCTAAACATTTTTACAAAAAAGTACTAGAAAAATACAACAACATTAATATTAACCACCTTCTCACTAACAATACTCTGCTCACAGAATATAATAAAATTCTAAACAAAATATATTATCACTTCTCTAACTATTTTTCTAAGAAACCTTTATACCCAATCCCTCCAGACTTTTATTAACTATACCAACCACATCCAGAATTTGAACTACATTTTCAAGATCTATTCAAAACTATTTCTGACCAAGAATGAACCAAAACAATAACTAATCTTCCAAACCAAAAAGCAGCTGGACCCTCTGAAGTTTGCTATAAGCATATTAAATATACTAGCACACACTCTCAAAATATTTTTAAATCCTTTATTAACAAATGTTTTCAACTTCAAAAAACTCTAATAGATTAGAAAATCCTCAAATATATTTCTAATATCTAAGAAAACAAACTGGGATTTTACTCTAAACCAAGTTTGTCCAATCTCAATTATTAAACCCCTCAAAAAAGTTTTTACAAAAATCTTTATAGATAAAATAATTTCATCAAATAATCTTTTTTCTAATCTAAACTTCACAGCAACTAAAAACTCTTCTATATATACTCCAATTCAAATTTTGTATAACACCATCAAACATTATTCTTCTCATAACAAAGAGGCATGGATACTATTCCAAGATATGTCTAAAGCCTTTGATAAAATCAATATTTAGCATCTACAAGATGCCTGTCATAGAATTGGCATTCCTAGCCTAGGAATCAATTTAATAACTAAGCTACATACATCTTATCTAGCTTGAGTAATAATAGCTTATAACCTAACATCACCAATACATATTAAATCTGATATCAAACAAGAAGAAACCTACTCACCTCTTCTATGGAAGATCTATTATGATCCTATTCTTACTTACATATCTCAAAAATACAATGACCACTTTCTTAAAATTTCCTTCTTTTCCCCATTTGAAACAATCTCAAACACATCCCCAACTACTATTACAATTCTACAACTAGTATATATAGATGACACAGTGTGGCACTATGAACACCCAGAGACTCTACAAAATATTCTTAATAATGTCTCTGCCTTAAAAATATTGAAGTTAATCTAACCAAATCTGACTTACTTCACATTTCTCCTAAAAACTCTAAAACATCAAACCAGATACTTTTCTATAACAACCAAACAATTGCTCACAGAAAACCTGAAGACATAATTAGATATTTAGGCATCTTTTATGATAGTAAAAAGTTAACTAAACCAACTTTAGTTATATTATACAACAAAATAGAAAACTTTTTACTTCTAATTAAATATAAAAAATTATAGCCTTCCCAAATTTTCTCTCTTTTTAATCTTATACTTCAACCCTCTTTAGAATATCTCTTACAAATTATACCTATTCAAAAAAATATACAAACTAAACTCTCTCAACTATACAAACAAAAAGAATGCTTTCTTTGGCCAAAAATACTAATAATATATCACTTACTAATCTACTTATCTTCAATCTGCCCATTCTTACTAACATAATCCAAAAAATTAGCATATCTAATATTGAATATATTTTTAATATATCTCTACTTCTTCATAATATTGGTATTCTCCAAATCAAATCTTGGTTATTTAAAATTTGATATCCAAAGCTTACTAAAGAAATACTTCTTATTTATTATTGAAAAATGCAAAACTATATACTTTTATTTTATCTTTCACAATTAGCTAAATCACAAACTACCCTATTTTTATTCCTGAACATTCTCATTTAATTTATAACATACTTCCTCCAACTCCCAATAATCTTATACTTAGCAGTCTTAAAAACAACAAAATCTTATTTATAGAACAAATTACAATAGCAAACAACCAATTCTTTCTCCCCTGGAACAATATATATCTTTATACAAACAAAGCAACTAAAGACTGACAATCTTCTTGGTTTACTCAACTTTTACAAATAATACAAATAAATTCTTTTCAGATTACATAGCCACACCTTCAATTGCCCTTAGTAAATAGCTTTATTAATACAACTAATTTAATATTTTCTTCAACTACAA